CATGTAATGAGATTAATTTTCTCATTATTTGTTTTTAGTTTTTTTTTTTTTCTTAAAGAAACTGGTAACATGGTAAGGGCCCAACCATTACACATTCAGGCGGTATTCATGGAAATAGCAGTGATCATAATGAATTCATTTGGTATTCATGCAGCTGTCATATGCACTTGCATAAAGATACTTTTGTAATGCAGCCTTCCTTTGGCTGGACGCCTTTGTATGACTCTAGCTATTTCATCTGATCTGATTCCACAGCCTCAGGGAGGGAGTTTCTCTCAGTATCTGTGGCGGGCTTTGTGTCCCATTCTGCTTAGGTGCTTAGAAAACATCTCACGCCGTACAGATTTACCCCTACTTGAGTCAAGCAAGACCCATGACCTTCTTCTCCTCATCTCCTTACTCTAGGCCCCCATTTGGCTCATTGAGCATTGTATAATCCCTAAGTATTGATGGAATCATTGCATTGTTGGACATATACCAAGGATACTCTAAACCTCTTTTTTTGCTTGTTTTTTGAGATAGAGTCCTACTATGTAACCATGACTGACCTGAAACTGGCTGTGTAAATCAGACTATCATAGAACTTGCAAACCCCTGCCTGCCTTTGCTCCCATGCTGGGATTAAAGGGATATGCCAACAAGCCCTGCTAGAAATTTAAAACAAAACTGCCTGTGTTGTGTATCTTGAGTGGCACAAGGCTCAAAGCCCTTCTCATGTTTTCTGATGTGTGGCTTTTCTACTTTTACTGATTCAATTAAATTACTGGAAAATAGATTATTACAATTGGTCTGGAGTCAGGTGTAGAAAAGTTTGAAGGTAATTGACAAGATACTCACAGTTTGTGGTAGAAAAAAATTGGTTATTTGAATTGATTCTTTGCTTTGCTCAACAATCCAAAACAAATGGTGACTGCCTTTCACTTCATGACTGGGAAATATTTGGCACCACAAGCTAAGCACTAGGATTGGAGATGTAGCTCAGCTGGTCCAGTGCTTGCACAATGTGCTAGAAACCCTGGCTTCCACCTCCAGTGCCACATATAGGGGGCATGGTGTCTCATGGCTGTGATCTTAGCACTTGGGAGGTGAGAGGCAGAATGAGTTTAAACTCATTCTCAGCTATAAGCCAGTAGGAGATAGGTGAAACTGTTGAGTTAAGGGAAGGAGGGAAGGAGGGAGGGAGGGAGGGAGGGAGAGAGAGAGAGGGAGAGGAGAAGGGAGGGAAGGAGGAAGGGAGGGAGGAAAAGGGAAGGAAATGGAAGGGAAGGGAAAGAAAGGGCATTTGGCTTGGTGGCATCAGAATTATAGTCTCAAGAGCATCTGCTGCCTTGGTAAGGACACCTGTTGGCTCTGGCTCACTTGACCCCCAGAAGAGGAGAAACTGCATTTGATGAAGAAGGCAAGCAGGTCACTGTAGTGTGTTATCTGACCACCACCACCACCCCCAGAAATCAGGAGTTTCCCTTTCCTGCCCACCTCTGCAGTCTAGGGAGAAGCACACCCTCAGAAGCCCTTATAGACACCTCAGAGTCAGTACAAGGTAAATTTCTTTCAGGATATTTCTCCGAGGCTCACATCTTGAGACATCAATAAAGTCACAGCTCCAGGGCCCAGCAGTTCAAGAATCTGGAATCACTAAGCCAGGCCTGTGGAGGACCTCTCAGAAGAGGCAGCAGTAGGACAGAGACCAAGTACGCAGGGGACTTTCTGTCATTCCCATCACGATGGTCTCCTATGTTTTCCCTTCCCTAATCAGATGCATTACCACATATTTAGTTTAATTACCATATCGGATGGAAATTCACTTTTACTGATACAATTAAAAGACTGGAAAATAGCATATTACAGGAGGCTTGGAGTCAGATGAACAAAAATTTGAAGGTAATTGACATGATACTCACACCCTCCGATAGGAAAATTGATTATTTGAATTGTCTCAGGGGGCACCTCTTTGCTTGCTTTTTCTGCACAGCACATCCACCCCCATCCCCAGCAGCCAAGTGACAGGCAGCAACTGCTACATTATCCTGTCTGGACCTCAGCAGGACTTGGGTTGGTGACTGCTCAGGCTCCATGGAAGGGGTGTGTGCCCAATGCCCCCAGTCTCCTTGGCATTCTTCCTTATTATCTGTCAGACATGACTGCTCTCAGAAAACTTTCCACTCCTGTTAAATCGCAAAAAGTCCATTGCACAGATTGTCCTCAGCACAAAGACCTCCACACACTCAGTCAGTTTGCCCTAGCTACTGGGTGATGTCTAGTTTTTCACGTCTTTACGAATTAAGTCTTTTCTTGATCAGTACATTCCAATGAAAAGCTGTTCAAATATGTACCAGATATCTTCACATGACACTGAAATGGGCCGTCTCTCCACCAGGTGAGCGTGTTATTAATTTCTTCACAAAATATCTGAACAAGATTTTTCAATTAATTTTTTCCTGTTGTGTTTGCCTCCACCTGACACCACAGATGTGATGTTGTCTTTTTCACAGCTGGAGACCAACTAAAACGACCTCTGGGATAATTCGAATATGTCAAGGACCAGAAATGTGGCATTTAAAACCTGAGAATTCCTAGATTTGGGTGGGAGCTTTGCCCTTTCCTGCAGCTCCTTCCCTAGCTCACTCAGACAATGCCTGCCGTTTCCTGACCTGCCCAATTAGTGCTCAAGTGAGGAGGTTGGAAAACAAGCCCAGGTCCCCTCTGTGGCTAATACCTTCACTTATGGAACCTTGACCCAGCCTTCTCGTGGCACACAGAGTGACTGGGTAAGAGTTCTGCAATGGCTTAGTTGCAATTTGTATGCTAATCCCACTGGTGCATTCTCTCTCAAGTCCTGACCCATCTTAAGCCTTCATCACGCCCTGCCTGAACGACATGCCTTGTGTTCACTCTGGTGTGTGCACATACATGATGAACATATGTGGGGCTGGCCTTAACACTTCCTCCTCAACACAGGGCTAATGACAACAGCATAGCCTCTGCATTTATCTATTGCATCTGCAACACATTACACAGTGCTCAGAAATAAATCCACTCAGGCTGGTGACTCTACCTTACTTACCAAGACTGGCAGAGCTGGGAGTCTGAATCTAATATTTTCAGAAATGAAGTTTAGTCTAGGGCTCAGCGTCTTCACCTTTTGAAATCCTGTATGAGGGTACCTGAATCTGAGTGTCCTGGAAAAGCTGGCAACAGTAAGGTTTTCTAAATGTGCAATAGCCAGAAATTAATTCCAAGTCAACTGCATTGTGAACCTGAATTGTTTCTGCAGTGTGCAGTAGGATTTCCCTGTGCAATTTCACTGCAGCCCTGCCTGGTTCTGAACACACAGCATGCCCACTGTGTACTGTGCCCACCACACCATGCCAGACAATGCTGCCTGAAACACTTCAGCTCAGATTTGAGACTATTCGAACTGCAGTTTTGACTGTACCTCAGAGAACTCTTTTCTTACAGAAATCACTGAACACATCGGTGTTTGGTATTAATAATTATGTAAGTGTCAGATTCATATAAGTTTGGACTGTGTTGTGTTGGAATGTTTGATTTTAAAATTTGCTGTTTGAAGGACTAGAGAGATGGCTCAGAGGTTAAGAGAACTGGATTCTCCTCCAAAGGACCTGGATTCAATTCCCAGTACCCACATGGTTGTTCACAGCCATCTTTAATTCCAGTACCAGGGGGGTCCAATGCCCTCTTCTGACCTCTGTGGGAACCAGGCACACATGTGGTGCATATTCATACATGCAAACACCATCTACATTTTTTAAAAAGTTGTTAGAGTTGAGTTACTGACTTAAAGTCATTAACAAAAGAGCATTCAATAGATTTTGGTATGGGATTAAGACAGAATTTCAAACAATTGCTTAAATGGCCCCAGACATGCCTCTGCCATTTTGTATTATGTATTTATGTAAAACTGTTTTCGGCACTGATTATTGTAAAATCAAAATACCAGTCAACTCTGAAAAACACTGGAGATGCTCTTCGTCCTGTAGGATCAAATATTCAGCCAGGATTGAATTATTTATGCAAAATAAACAAGCACATCATCTCATTAGTATGCAAATTAGCTTTCATCTTTAATAAGTGGTAAAAATTATGTGTGTACCAAAGAATTGTTTTAAAATAAATTTCTTCATAATCTACAACCAATAAATGTTTGATGCCTGTACCTATTTTATATTCTTTTATACCCAGGGTCACTAGGGTTACTCCAGTGAAAGGGGATCATGATGAAAAAGTTTAAGAAACTGTGTCAACAGCTAGCAGTGCCGACCCAGCTTGTCTTTGCCAACACAGGTAACCTCCTCTCACAGGCAGGCATGGGCATGGTGGTCTTTAAGGGAGTCCGTGAGATGTGCTGAGGTCATTCTGTCTTCTATTGTTCATTTCAAGTTCTGTCTTCACTGCTGTTCTAAGAAGGAATTCTGTTCAAACTTTGAATCGTAAAGTCAGTTAAAATAATGCACCAAGCATCTACTCTGAGAAATAATGCCAATTATTCATTTATTCACTCATTCATTCAAGAAATGGTCCCAGGGCTTTTTATGGAAATCTCTGGAAATTCTGTGAAAGGGAAAAATGCATGCTGCATTCAGCCTTCTGATTGTCATCAGGTAAATGAAAACCATAAAGTTGTTTGCCTCGGGTGCCAGGCTTCCATGCTCAACAGTTGAGTGACCCTCACATGCCAGCCTCAGGGTAGGGCAGCATAGACTCTAACCTTCTAAATGACTTAACATGTGATTTGCTAGTGGTTAAAATAGTAAACCCTTCTGCAGAATAATCATTATCACAGGAAGCTTGCTTGGTGTTCTGTGAGCCACAAGGCTCCATTCATCAGCACTTTCCCCCCCTGTGAGCCACAAGGCTCCATTCATCAGCACTTTCCCCCCAACCATCTTTAATTACGGGTCTGTTCCCACATGGTCTCAACCCAGAGCCTGCAATTCAGGTTCGTGTTGGCCACTGATCTGTCCAGTCACGGTGCCTCTTCAACTAGGTGGGAGACTCACAGGAATCCAAGAACTATATAGCCGTGGGGTGTCCACTCAATGTGAGTAATCCTTCCTAACAATCCATGGTGATAAGAATGATTCCATACAAGAAGGCCCTTACACTCACAGGCAAAGCCACTGCAGTTCCAAAGGGCAGAGAAAAGACCTCCAAGATTCTCACTCCAGGATGGAAACTAACCTAAATCTGCCACCACAGGATTGCATACCGATAACTGAGGTGAGTCCACTTTATAAATCTGAAGCCCTTTTGGACTTTGCAGAACCAGATTGTATGTGAGTACAATAGTGAGCTTAAACTGTTTCCTGTTGGATTGATATATAACCACAACTCTTACCCTGGGACATCCTTACTTCAATCTTTAGTTCTCCTTAGATGATCAACCCCTGACCAATTACAACCATAAAGATGTGACACAGACGAGGCCATCCACAGTCCATGCTGCTGCTCCATGTACAGGAGAGAAGGTGTGGGTCTGAGGAGGCCTGAGGCTGTGAGTTCAAGGCTGTGCCTTGCTATCTTCCCTGCTGTCTGGCTTCTCTGTGAAGTCTGTCTGGCTATCTTTGTATATTAAAGGAAGTCCAGTGTTATCTAAAGAAAAGATGAAAGCTGCATGTGAAAAAAGATGACCCCCCTGGTGGTCCTGAATTCCCTATGCCACTCCTGGGTTCCTGGCTGCTACAATTCTCTTGTTTGTAAACTATATTAATAGTATTCCTATTGCTGTGTTGAATACCATGATTAAAAGTAACTTGGGGAAGAAAGTATTTGTTTGGCTTACACTTCCAGGTGCAAGTCGATCACTGAGAAAAGTCAGGACAAAAACTCAAGCAAGAGTGGAGAGAGGAATCATGAAGGAACACTGCTTACTAGATTCCCCGAGGCTAATGTTCAGCTACTTTTTTTACACAGCCCAGGTCTGTCTGTCTCGAGATGAACCGGCATTGGGCTGGGCCCTCCTGAATAAATTAGCAGTCAAGAAGCCATACAAACATGGTAATACGCCAATCTGATAGAAGCAATTCTTCAATTGCGGCCACTTCTTCCCAGATTTGTCAAGATAAAAACCAAAATTAGCCATCACTATGACCCAGCTCCATGTCCCACTCTGGGAACTGATGCATTTAGGTTTGCATAACTTATTTCATTGAGATTTCTGTTAAAATAAACAATAAGATGCCTGACCACAGGCAGTGGTTAGGTGCATTTTCTAGAGGGTCTAGATTTTTCTGTGCTTCAGTAGTCTGAAGCAAGGGGCCCAGCCCAACATCCCAACCCAGTCCACCTGGGGAAAGAGCTTTCGTGTGTGTTTTCCTCCTATCTCCAGCTAGCTGCCATGAAGTCATTTCCCTCATTGAAATATTGCTAAGTCTCACTGGATGGGGACAGACGATTCCTCTGAGCAAGCCAGTGTCTGTGATCGACCTTGACTTCTCTAGTCTCTTCCATCACAGGTTTCCTCTGGTTTGCTAGTTTTGTACTTTAGGAATCAGGATGACTGGTTCATTTCTCCAGGTTTTTCTTGATCTCACAGTAATACTGTAGTTTTTTCCTACTACCAGAGTAGGACATAACTATACCACATCCCTCTTCAAAAATGGGGCCTTGTTGTCAGTTTGTCAAGGGAAACCTATAGTCTTGGCAAAGGAGTTGTTTGGGGATTCCCATAGGACCCCTTTGGCCAACAACTCTTTTAGATGTAACCAAGTCCCAGGACCAGAAGTTTCACTTGATGACAAGAGATGGCCAGTTGGGGCTCTGTCTTCCTTATTATTTGGTTATTTCATATAGATTGCCTTCATATATTCTTTTATTTTAGGAAGACTCTACTGTATTAGGGTTCCATATTACCCCTCTAATAGCCCTTAATTTTAGTTGTCCCTCCGCTTATTCACACCCTTGTGTCCTTATTCCCCCCTTCTGCACTGTGATCTTCCTTTTCCAGCCCTGCCCCATCCATCATATCTATCTATTAATTTCTCTTTCCTAACAAGATCTATCTGTTCCCAATAGCGCTTGGTCTATGCCTAACTTCTGTGGTTCTATGGATTGTAGTTTGGATATTAAAGGCTATTATACATGTTTAAACAAATATATACCATATTTGTGTTTCTAGGTCTGGGTTACTTCCAACTCAAGATGATTTTCTCTAGTTCCACCCATTTACCTGTGAATTTCATGGTTTCATTTTTTAATGGCTGAGTAATATTCTATTGTATAAATGCAGTATATTTTCTTTATCTGTCTTTCCTTCGAGGAACATCTCAGCTGTTTTTAATTTCTGGATATTATAAATAGAGTGTCAGTGAACATGGTTGGGCAAGTGTCTTTGTGGCTGGATAAAACATCCTTTGGGGATATGCCCAATAGTGATAGAACTAGATCTTGTGGTAGATCAATCCCCATCTTCTTAAGAAACTGCCACGCTGATTTCCATATTGTCTGTAAGAGTTTGCACTCACACCAGCAATGAATGAGTGTTCCCCTTGCTCCACATCCTCACCAGCATGAGCTCACTTGTTTTCTTGATCTTAACCATTCTGACAGGTGTAAGATGAAATCACAAAGTAGTTTTGATTTCCATTTCCCTGATTGCTAAGAATGTTGATGATTTCTTTAATGTTTCCCAGGCATTTGAGTTTCTTTTATTGAGAATTCTCTGTTTAAATCTACATCCCATTTTTAACTGTGTTATTTGATTTCCTGATATCTAGTTTCTTAAGCCCCTTATATTTTTTGGGTATTAAACCTCTATCATGTGTGTAGTTGATAAAAATCTTTTCCCATTCTGTAGGGTGCCACTTTGTCTAAATGAAAATGTCTTTTTCTATACAAAAGCCATGAGATCCCATTTATTAACTGTTGATTTCACTGTCTGCTCTATGAGTGTTCTGTTCAGAAACATCTTCTCATGTGCCAATGAGTTGAAGGATATTCCTACTTTCTCTTCTATCAGGTTCAGTGTATATGGTTTTACATTTTGGTCTGTGATACTTTGAAGTTTAGTTTTGTGCAGTGTGGCAAGTATGGATCAATTTTAATTCTTCTACATGCATCCATTAAGTTTGACCAGCACGTTGGTGAAGATACTGTCTTTTTCCCCCAGTGCATGTTTTTTGCTTCTTTATCAAAAATATGTCCATAGATATGTGGGTTTATGTCTAGGTCTTCAATTCCATTAATTAACGTATCTATTTTGTGCCAATACCATAATATTTTATTACTATCACTCTGTAGTACAACTTAAAACTCAGGGTGGTGATACTTCCAGATGTTCTTTTATTGGTCAAGATTGTTTAGCTATTCTGGTGTGTGTGTGTGTACGTGTTTGTGTTTTTATATGAAGCTGATCCTTTCAAAATATGTGAAGAATTGTGTTGGAGTGTTGATGGGGATTGCATTGAATCTGTAGATTGATTTTGGTAAGATGGTCATTCTTACTATGTTAGTTCTACCAATCCATGAGCATGGGAGAACTTTCAGTCAGTCTTCAATTTCCTTCTTCAAGGTTTTAAGTTTTTAATCATATAAGTCTTTCAATTGCTTGATTAGGGTTGACCCAAGATATTTTATATTATTTGAGGCTATTACAAAACGTGTTGGTTCCTGATTTCTTAATCAATTTGTTGTTTGTATTTAGAATGGCTACTGATTTTAAGAGTTAATTTTATATCCTGCTTCTTAGCTGAAAGTGTTTATCTAATGTAAGTGTTTCCCAGCAGAATTTTTAAGCTCGATTATGTATAATATCATATCATCTGCAAACAAAGATACCTTGACTTCTTCCTTTCCAATTTGTATCCACTTGATTTCTTTCAGTCATATTGTTGTAGCTAAGACTTTAAGTACTATATTGAATAGATATGGAGAGAGTGGATAACCTTGTCTTGTTCCTGGTTTTAGTGGAATGGATTGAGTTTCTCTCCATTTAAGTTGATGTTGGCTATGAGCTTGCTGTAAACTGCCTTTATTACATTGAGTTATGTCCCTTGTATTCCTAATTCGCCAGGACTTTTATCATGAAGGTTGCTAGATTTTGTCAAAGGTCTTTTCTGCATCTAATGAAATGATCCTGTGATTTTTGTCTTTCAGTTTGTTTTTATGGTGGATTATATTTATCAGTTTACATATGTTGAACCATTCTCAAATCTCTGGGATGAAGCCTACTTGTTTGTGATAGATGATCTTTTCGATGTGTTCTCGGATTGAGTTTGCAAGTATTTTATTGAAAAACTTCGCACCTATGTTTATAAGAGAAAATGGTCTGTAATTTTCTTTGTTGGGTCTTGATGTGGTTTGGTTATTAGGGTAACTGTGGTCTTGTAAAATGAATTGAACAGTCCCTTTTGTTTTTATTTTGTGGAATGATTTGAGGTGTATTAGCATTAACTCATCCTTTAGAGTCTGGTAGAATTCTGCACTAGAACTATCTGGTCCTGAGCTTTATTTATTCTTTGGTTGGGGGTTGGAAGACTTTTAATTACTGCTTCTATTTCACTAGGGGTTATAAGTCTGCTTAAATTGCTATTCTGATCTTGATTTAACTTTTAGTAAATGGTATGATTCTAGAAAATTTATCTGTGTCTTTTATAGTTTCCAATTTGGTACTGTCCTCAAATCACTTAACATTTCTCATTTGCAAAACACCCTTCGAAAATATCAATTATTGAAAGCACAACTACGAATGGCCAAACTACCAGAGAAGCCTGCTTACCTTCTAGTGTTTTCTTCTATCGTTGATCTTTCTACTAGAATCCTTGGCTTTGCTTTTGTCTGTGGGGTTTCAGTTGTTTTCCTTACCTTACCTGGAAAGTTTCTCTCACTGTCAGTTCAGCAGTGGAAGTCCTGGATGTGCAGAATGTGTTTGTCACTATTTTTTCTTCTGTATCCGGTCAGTCAAGTGGCAGAAAAACAGGGAGGCTCTATTAGTTACTTTTCTGTTACTGTGATAAACACCATCACTAAGGCAACTTAAGGAAGAGTTTACTTCAGTTTATGCTTACTGGGGGCTATGTCTGGCAGAGTAGGAAGCTCACATGTTAAAGCTACAACACAAAGCACACAGAGCAAACTGTGAGTCTATGTATTCTTAAAGTCTGCCTCCAATGACATATTTTATCCAACAATTCTCCGTGAAACAGCACCATCACCTAGGGACTAACTGTCAATCATGTAAGCCAATAGGGGACATTCTCCTGCAAAGTACCACAGAACCTAGCTGCTGTCTCACACTAGTGAACTTTCAGTTGGACCTCTGGTGTGGCTGGAGCTGTGGTCAGGGCTTTGTGCCTGTCTCATCGCTGTTTATTTCACCAACTGAGACTTTTTGCCCTTCATTTATCCTAATGATGACGGCTAAAATCTTCTTTCTCACAGTCATTTTTGGAAAGTAAGGACGGGGTGGAAATTTATAGATGTAGCCCTGGCAACGGTGTACCTCGTTGTCCCCACCTAACAAGCACCAATGGAACCTGGAATGTCATAACTGTGTCTCCACTTCCTACAAAGATTTGGGACTCTAAAAGAGTCACACCATGAGGCAATGTTTTAAGTGTCTTAGTAAGAGTTTCAATTTCTGTGATAAAACACTAGGACCAAAAGCAACTTGGAGAGGACAGGGTTCTTTGTTTGTTTGCTTTTCATCTTATACCTTCTCTATTGTTCAAGGAAGTCAGGCCAGGAACTCAAGATAGGCACATGGAGGCAGGAGCTACAGCAGAGCCCATAGAGGGGTGTTGCTTACTGGTTTACTCCTCATGACTTATTTGACCTGCTGTATTGTAGTAACTAGGACCACCAGCCCAGAGGTGACACCACCTAGAGCAAGCTGGGCACTTCCACATCAATCCTCAAGCAAGAAAATGTCCCATCAGCTTGCCCACAGGCTAATCTGGTGAGGGAATTTTTTAATTTAGGCTCCCTCCTCCTAACTGAGTCTAGCCTCTGTCAAGATGACATTAAAAAGTAGCCGGCACAGCAAGCAATTCTACACTCAGATAAAGTACCTAAACAGGAAAAGGGCCATTGTTCTAGATATACACAGATGGTCTGTCATCATATCTTTGACATTTGACTTGACTTTTTGAGCAAGGCATTATTTCTCAAGACAAGAAAGGTGTTTCTCATTTCCATTCATGATGCAGTAAATCAGGAAAATCACAGGCAAAGGTTTGCACTAAATAACAAGATGAAAGAGAAAATCCCCAAGCACTTGGCACAGCTCCCCTTCACACTGAGTATGAGTCTGTGAGGGAGGGATCCCCAGGCCCAATGGCCCTTCTTCTCTAGAACTAAAATCGGCTCAGGTCAATGAGAAACCCAACCATGACCGCAGCCGCAGTCCCCCATGCTGAAACCGACCTTTGATTTTGGCCATCAAAACCTGTTAAAGGGACTTGTAGGTACGTGCCTATGTGTACTCTTATCATAAGGACAGAAGGGGCTGCTGGCTCCCAGGCTACCCGATGGCCGAGAACCATGCATGAGCAACTGACTGCAGGGCATTAATATCAGCAGCCTGATGGCAGGCATCCTTCAGAATACAAAGGACTGGGCCTCTAATTTTCAAAGGGAACCTTTTACTAAGATAAGGCTAATTAGCTGTAATCTTCCCACAAGCAGCCAAAACATGAAATTTGCTCTCAATTTTTAACCAGCCATTCAATGGGGCTTGTTTTCTTTTTTATATTTGAGTATTTATTTATTTATGTAAATGTTGACAGAGAGAGAGAGAGAGAGAGAGAGAGAGAGAGAGAGAGAGAGAAAGAGAGAGAGAAGCATACAGCACAGGTATGGGGTCAGAGGACAACTTTGAGGAACCAGCTTCCTCCTCCCTTACTGTCTTGTTCTCTTGCTATGATGCATCCTCAAGCTAGCTCTCTCACAGGCTTCTGGGTGAATAACCCCTCCTCGCCTCACCTTGCTCTGTAGCAATGCTAGGATTACTTATACACAGCATTGCCTTGAGTTTTTTACATGGAACCCAGGAATTGAACTTGGATCATCAGACTTGTGCAGCAACACATTTACCCGCTTAGCCGTCTCCCCAGTCCTGAAAATGTTTTTTTTTCTAAACCTGTTTTCCTATGATGATGTCCATGCCTTATTCTTTCTCTACACTGCTTTATATTGCCTGTAGTTCTCCTCCAGGCTGTCTTATTTGGGCTCACCTTCTGAACAGGTTGGCATGCCAAGTCACTTTGAGCTATGGGAATGAAGCCAGTCCTTTAATTTGAAACCTTTTCTTTTGAAGGCTCCCACTGTAAGACCGCCATCTTATTTATAGCCACTAATATGTCTCAAGTATGTCATAAAGGAAAGGCATACTCACTCTTTGAGATCCCACAGCCACAGAACGTGATTGGATGAGCTGCAGCTCACCCTGAGAATTTTGGGTGGATCTGTTTTGATTGTTTAGAATTATACTTATCTGAAAAACTTCATGTTGACATTTTTTTCTTTTTACCCCAAAAATATGTTTTGAAGAGAATACTGATCCCCCCCCCTAGGGATTTATAGCAGCCGTTGCCTAAACTGGCCCCAGATTTTACAGGCCTGTGAGGCTGCAGTAGCCTCATCACTTTGAGAGCCTGGCAATTGCTCCAGCTCCAGCTGCCAGCACAGATCCAGTTCGTGTTTTCTGTTCTTGTGAGAGCTGAGCTCTCTCCTCCGTTATTGTTGCTGTAATTACACAAATGATCTGCTCTACTGTCACTTCTAGTCAAAGGTGTCATCTGAAATTAAAAATTCATGTAAAATCCAGAGAATCAACTTTTAAGCAGACAGCAGGAGACCTGACCGGATTACATAATGTTTTACTTAACCCCTTTCATGACTCCTGGCTCCAACTGAGGTTAGGACAGTATGTCGACCCTGGTTGATGTCACTAACCTGCCACCAGAAGACGTCTGCATCATCTGCTAGGACTACCATAACAAAGTACCACAGAATTAACAACCCAATGTCCTTTTTCTGGTCACCTTGGAAACTGAAGTCTCCCAGCAAGGACTGTTCAGAGTCCTCTCTCCTGGCCTACAAACACCCCCCTTGCACCTTGAGCCTCTTTCTACAAGGACACCATTCATCTTGGATTAGAGCCCAACCGTGTGATTGTGACACTGTATTGCGTCTTTAGAAATGCCTTCTCTACATTCAGACACACCCCAAAATACTGAGTAAGATGTGAACTCTCAGAAAACAGAATTTATTCCACCACAAGGTCATGTATATCTAAGGAGAGCAAACGAGGACATGGGAAGTGCCAGTTATCAGCAGAGTTCCTCCTTCTGGGGGTTCAGCCCTAGGATATGAGTCCATAGAAGGTAACTGCCTAAAGGAGGGAGTGTGGAGCCTGATAGCTTTCTGGGCACCTTAAATACTGGGAATGTAACAGCGTGGTGAATCTATATACTCGGGCTTCAAAATATTGAGAATAATGAGTTCAGGAACAACACGTGAAATCAATACAAAATATTTTGCCTTATTTTTAATTTTAAAACATTTTAAGAGACATGGTGCAAAATTAACCCCTCTATGTCACTGGCCTGCACTGCTGTGTATTTTATACATACAGAGTGGTATAACCCTCGCCCCAGTCGGGACAGGCACATCACACCATATGGTCCTCTTCTGGTCCTCTGCACACACCCCTGGGACCTTGGCAACCACTGATACTGGCTTATCCTCATGATTTGGTTTGAGAATGCCACGAAGAGGGTGACATATACAGTGTATGCCTAATGCCCTGTAAATGAGTCCTTGTTGGGTGAACAGAAGATTCGTTTCTGTTCATTGCTAAGCACCGCCCACTGTGCTGAGGAGCCATACTCTTTATCTTTTCACTCACTGAGATGCTGTATCTGTTAGAGTGTAACAGGGTATGGAGTAAGACTGTTTCTATCATCCATGTGTAAGCTTTCCTATGAAAGCACATTCTCATTTGATTTGGGATGCAAGACATCCAGAGGACTTTACCTATCTTTCTAAGAAATGGTCTTCTTTGGGGTGGGGAGGTTGGTCATGTTTTTTGGTCATGTTTTTTTTTACTCCCTATCCACAATAGTTCCATCTTCTTTGCATCACGCCAGCCCTTGGTTTCTCCCACCCTCTTGTCTGTGTTTGCTCCCTCCACTCTGATAACAGAGAAGTTGGTGTTCTGGTCCACAGCACCCTGATGCCAGGGGATGTTGAGCTGGTAATATCTTCATGGGTTTATTGGCCATCCCTATAAACTCCCCAGTAGAATGTGAGCTCAAACTATTTGCCCATTTTTTTAAAGTTTTGTTTTTTGGACAAACTTTGTATGCTTCATTGTGTGAATTTTGCCAGCAGACACACATATGCACCATGTGTGTACCTGGCGCCTACAGAGATCAGAGAGTGCAGGATCCCTTAGGGCCAGAGGCACAGATGGGTGTGAGCCACTATGTGGGTGCTGGAAACTGAGCCAGGATCATGTGCAAGAGCCACAAGTGCTCTCAACCATGGATCCATGTCTCCATTTGCTATCTTTTGATTGCTTTGGTCTGTCCCTTGTTGTGGACATAGGAGCCTCTTCCACATTCTGCATGCAACTCCTCTTTCCGTTATGTGGCTGGCAGAGATTTTTTCACTTATTCCTTGTCTTTCTAGAATTTTGTTTTAATTTTTTTGTCCAACCTAATGTCAGATGATGTATATAGTTGTGATTTTCTGTTTTCTGAAAACCTTGAGTTTTAACACTATTATTTTGATTGAACATGTACTCTGAATTAGCTTTTGTGAAAAGTAGGAGATAGACAATGACATAATCCTTTTGTCTATGAATGCATTTGTTGAAAATATTTCCTTTGTGCCTGGTCAAAAAAAATCAATTGATCACATTGTGTTTCATTTGTTTCTAGTCCCTCCATTGTTCCACCAATGAACACATCTTTCATGTCATAAAACTGAATCAAAAAATATTTTGATTCCTGTAACTTTATATAAAGTTTTAAAATTGGGTCTAGTGAGCTCTTTGGCTTTGTTCAGTAATTTTGGTCTGTTTTCCTTTCTGTGCTTGTGTGCAGTCAGTTCACTGATGCCTCCTAATATCTTGCTGAAGTTTTCATGAAAGTCACAAAGCTTAGGTTGCAGAGGTGGGATGGTCATGACCAGAGTGTCCAGTCTTCCCTGGATACACAGGTATGTCCCCAGTGGCTTATACCCTCTTCAGTCTCTATCACCAGGGTATTACAGTTTTCTTTGTGGCATTTTTTTTATGTTTTGCTATAGTGACACCCAAGCATTGTGGAAACACTATCGCAATTGTTAAAAAACTGGTGTCCAATAAATAATTGCTTGTTCAAAGCATATGATTGATGAAGAAAAGAGGAGATCTTAAGAGGGGGAGAACAATACTTGTGATAGGAGAGCAGAGGCGGGGAACATTTGAGGTGGGAGGAGGAATTGTCTTAAAGGAAAAGAGGGTTTCGGGGGGCTTTAGGAGAAGGAAGGATTTTTAACACAAAGTATAATGAGGAGTAGGCATTAAAATACCAGAATGAAGCACATTACTTTTATGCTAACTTCAAAAAGTTAGAAAATAAAACCATATGTACTGCCCTGGACTCATCTGACCTTGCTGCTATTCAATCTAATAGTTTTCTGTAGATTTTGTGAGATTTTTCCACATAGCAATAAAATCTTCAGCAAACAAGGATAAGTCCATTTATTCTTCCTTTCAACATGGCTTTTAATTCTTTTTCCTTATGACTCTGGTTCAGTCTATGCCTTTAGGTTTTGTGGTTTTCTGTGTTTTTTTTTAGATAAATGGAGCAGCATCCTTTGAGGTCCTGGAGGACTTACCCAAAGCCACGTGCTTATCCCTTGCCAATGGACGCTGGCATTCAAACCTTTGTTTTTATTTCCAGTCTTCATGTATGACCTGCACATGGTAACTATGCTGTGCACCTTTACAAACACTTTGTCTGTCATTATAAAATTAATTTATTATTCTCAATAGATTGATAGAGATTTAGCACCACTCACCAACTGTTTTATACTTAATTGAATCTAGGGTGGCATGGGACCTCCGCTTTGACAAAAGTGTCATCCCAGCCTTGAGAACTTTTTGCAGTCACTGTGTGGTTCCCCAGGATGGAAACAACAACAGCAACTCCAAATGAAACGCAAATATCCCTCTGTGTTATTTGAAACTGCCAGAGTTTCAGAGGGAGGTATCCCTCTGAGGGAAAGAGGAGATCTCAAGAGGGGATGATAATACATGTGATAGGGGGAAGAGGGAATCATAGGTTAGAAGACAGATCAGGCACCAGTGTGACCTCTAGTGATTTAAAGGGATGACACCAACTGGCAAGTTAGGCAATAGTGGAGAGACCACCTCGAATGACCATTCCTGATAGTGAATTTGATGTCTATAACAATCCTGAGCCTTCATCCAGTGACTGATGGAAGCAGAGGCAAACACCCACAGTTAAACACTGAACTGAACCCATGGAACCCAGTGACAGGGAGAGAGGAGAGATGAACAAATTGGCAAAGAATGGGCTGGCAAAACCAGCAGAGACAGCTGATCTGAACAGGGGAGAGCTCTTGGACTCCAGACCGACAGCTTGGAGGCCAACATGGGACTGATCCTGACCCCCTGAGTGTGAGAGTCAGTGAGGAGGCCTGGGCAACCTATGGGGCCCTGGGCAGTGGATCAGTATTTATCCCTGGCATACAAACAGACATCGTGTGTCCATAACACAAAGAGGGATGCTCTCTCAGCCTGGACTCTTAGGGGGAGTGCCTGGACCCTGCCCTGAGTGAAATGACAGACTCTAGATATCCCCTATGTGGAAGGAAATGGATATAGTATGGGAGGCTGGGGGGATGGCAGGGGGGGGGTGCGGGAGGAGGGGAGGGAGAGGGAACTGGGATTGGCATGTAAAACAAGCTATTTAAAATTAAAATAATACAAAATACATGTGATAGGATACATCTGCTGGCTCCCTGGGGCTTCTTTCTGCCAGCAGCTGAGATATCCACTTTCTGGACACTAGAAAGTGGCATGGGAGTCAGAAACACCCATTGCAGTTTGCATCATCCCTTTATGGCTGTTGCTAAGGTGTGAAATATAAATTCTTCCAAGTGACCCAGATTGACTAAACCAGCCAGTGTCACTGGGCCAGAAAAGCTCTTTTCCAGCAAGGATCACTTTGGAACAGGGACACAGACACTGGGTGTTCAGCATCTTCACTAACAGGCCAGCCAGATGTGTGACTCTTGTGTTACATGTGACCCCTTTCTACAGAAAGAGCCCTTCTCTATGCTAGGTGGCCCAGGGCTTACTGTTGTTGGCAGGCTTAAGCCAGTTCCCTTAAAACTCTACTGTGTCATGTACAATGCTTGAAACCACTTTTGCAAAACAGAGTATTATAAAAACTAAGTTTTGAGAATCACGTGAAGGTTGTTGAGGGCATTCTTTCCAGGGGAAACTAAATGAGAAAAAGAATTGTACTCCAGAAACTTTCCTACTATATACAGCCTATCCTAGGGAAAGAAGGAATGGGAAAGCCAGAAACCTTAACAATTGTCCACAGACTTTTTTCATTCCATTTTGTATCCAGAGGTCTTTGGGCTCCACAGATGATGCTGTTTGTGATGTGTTTGACTATGGAATGTGGGGAGCATTGGGGCATGTGTGTTCTGCACGACTTACATCAGATAACTCAGGACTGGCTCCATGAAGCTTCTATTTTCACATGTCATTTGCAAGTTATGACTGTAAGTCCACAAGGTACCACTCCTCTTAAAGAAAACACCAGAAAATGATGTGGTTATTGTACTTCTGAAAGGGAGTCTGGGTGGCTTCTGTCCGTCCTTGACAAGCCATGCTGAGTGCTTGCTTCAGTTTTGTCCATGAACACTAAGTGGAATGTTTTTAGTTATCAAAAAAATGAAATGAAAAAATTTGTGGAAAAATGGATGGCCTTGAAATATATAATATTAACTGAAGTAACCCATACCCAAGAGACAAAATCTACTGTTTGTCACTTATATTAATAGTCTAGCCTACAGCATCACACACATGTACACACACTCACACACACACACACACACACTCACACAGGCTTACATGTATAAGTGTGCGTCAAGTTGGAGACCAAGAGAGGATAGTATTATGTGATGAGGAAGGACTGAACGTAGGCAACAGTACATGAATCATGAAAGAAGGTATAAAATTTTATTTCTAATTTTGACTTAATTATAGTTTTAATTTATTTACTTTTCTTTCAAGGTAGAAAATGAATTTAGCTTTCTTGGTATTAAACTAGCAAGAACCATATAAATAAATAAATAGTACTAATTGGTAGTGAATTCATAAAACCTTAACTAAGGCCCAGGGCTTCACAATGGTTATTCTAACTGTATAAAGTTCACTGAGATATATAGATTTTAGACCAGGCAAGTGTTTGAGTAGCTTCTTTAAACCAGCTATGTGAAGTTTTTATTGGTTAGTTGATTAGAATAAAGTGATTTAATTAATAAAATGTCTTACCAATGATTGAGCCATGTGTTCCTTTCAAGTGAAGGTTAGCCCACGTAATGTGTTGGTCTGATGAGTGATGTTGCAGAAGCATTCCTTTCTCTGCTGCTGAATAAGCCCTTAAATGTAAAAGGGGTTCCCACAAAGGAACCTAGAGCCTGGAAGGGATGTGTCAATCTGTTAATCTTCCCTAAATGCCCTGGAAGCAGGAGCTCTACGAGTGTGACGGTGCCATTATTAAACCATTGTTTGCCCTGACATTGACAGGAGCAGCTGCTGTCTGCCTGAGCTTTTAGCACCAAGACAGAGAGTGGGATGCACCCGTGGTACACACTTGTCATGTGAGGGAAGGAGAGTGGGCTTCGTTGCTGAGACCCCAGAACCAGATTCAGAAAGTTGGAAGAGAATCAGGCAGAAAAAACTGTCCTTCTGTTGTCAATGCAGAGGCCTGGGATTCCTGATGCGGAAGCAGTTCTTGGCTTTCCTTCTCTCATAATGCCAACAGGCTCTCCTTTCCAGTTATCTGAGCTCCCTGTTACTGGATGTCAAAGGAGCATGCCTTCCAAGTACATTCGACAGGGACACCCAGGGCAAACGGTGTTGACAGGATGACATTGCCAAGATGAGAATGGCACATCTGTCTTCATCCCTGCAGATTGGCAAGATAAGTGTCCCTGGGTGGGAAACAGATCATCAGTGACTGGGTGCAGAGACAGCAATCAGAGAGCTGACCATGGGGAGTTTTTCTAGGGCATTGAGATGGAAGTCACATCTGTGTGGCTGAAGACATCAAAGCATGATAGAGACTCTCAAAACACAGAAGCACAGCTCACCCACAGGCAGGGCTAACGTCAGGTGTATTTTACCCACAGACATCAGAGACCACGTGAAGGGAAGAACAGGTCCTGCCCTGGCCCACAGTGATTGTGGCACCACCAGTTGCTCTACAGCGGACAAGAAGCACTTGGAACCTAAGGATGAGATACATAAGTCAGCCTTCTCCTTCCAAATGTGCAATGCAATGAATAGAAGTCCCCCTTTGCTGGGTTCCCCTTTCTACTTGGGAATCAGAGAAGGGAGTTTGTGAATTGCATATAAAAACAGATGTTGCATAGAATAGAAGTTAATTCTTGTATTGGAGAATTCTGAGTTAACTCAAAATTCACTTTGAAGTCCAATAATTCAGAGTTTGGAAAGAACTCTCGTAAAAAGAATTGAGTTTCTAAAATTCAAAAGACCAGCAGACCTGTGAACAACTACTTGAGCAGGACTGACAGCCAACCAGAGTGGTATGATATGAGCCCTGGCTTCATTGCCAATTTTGTGACCCAGGGCATGTTACTTACCCTTTCTGAGATAAAAGATTAAAGAATTCTAGTAGGTCTTGTGGCAGGAGTAGGTATTTGAGGCATTTTGTGGGTAGCAGCTGAGTTATGCAAATTTTCACCTAAGTGCAATGCATGCAGGAGAACTGTAGCCTTGTTCCTAGTGCTTAGAGGGAGTTGAAAGAGGAGCCAGTATGATCCATGGTAGGTACCATCTGTGCACTCTGCTAACCTTGATCTTGCTGTAAGAATGAACAAATCTGGGAGGGAAAAAGACAAAGCCACATCCAATTGCTGTCCAATTGGAACAAATGCCATTTAAACTGGGAGCAATTTGGGCTTTGGGAAAATGCACCCCAACTATGAGAAAGTTGGGTGCTATGGTGTAAACATAACACCCAACTGGCCCTGCAGCCCTAGGGATGCAGAGACAGGAGGATTTCTGGGGCTCACTGCCACATTGACTGTTTGACTATGTGAACCCTAGGTTCAGTGATAGACTATCTGAGAAACAAAACTGAAGAACAAGGATGACACCCAAAGTTGACCTCTGTCCTTCACAAACTCGCACACAGATGCATGTGTACCTGCTCACAAATCTCAGCTAAGTGGGCAATCTAATATAAATAACATTACTGTATTGATTCTGAATTAAAACAGTTTCATTAACAGTCTAGGGACACTTTCATGCATTCCTGCCAGCTGCACCATCAGACTGATTATTGGACATGCATTCAAGCAATGACATCTAACTTAAAAGGAACTGGACAGAGATCCCCCAGGCTGTGAAGACATACACTCTCCATCTAGTTGAACAGACTGCAGGGTAAGGAGCTCCAGTTGCTGGCAGATGCGACTACAGGCCGAAAGGAGGAGAAGTGGAACTCTGAACTGTATCTCTGTGCAAGGGCCTGGCCATACTGCTCTCTTAGCTGACAGCCGTTGAGCCCATATCGATGTGTTCAGTTGTAAATGGTCCCTTGTCAATGGAAACCACAGTTCTCTCCCTCAGCGTCTACACAGCCTCTTCCACATGTCACTCAGAAAGTAGTGTTCAGCCTCATGCTCCGGCTTGCCCATCACCTCACTGTCGCAGTGCCCTTCTGTCAAAATGGATTTTCGGGTGAAAGCTCTAGTCGCTCCCCAGGCATTACCGTGTGCAACACTATTGATTTGCTGTTGACTCTCAACCCTTGCTCTGGGATGCATCTGTACAGGTGACCAGAAGACAACACCTTCCCCAGAGGATTGGGGGACACAAATGGCAAGTGGCCTTTGAAAAAAATATATCCTCTTAAAGCAAACTTCTCAAGGCCATATCTGATGACAAGGTGGCCTTCCAGCTTCCCGGGGCACCCTTTGTGCATAGACTAAGGAAGTGGCAATCACAGGAGAATGAGCTTCTGGAGTCCATTCATCCCTTGATCCCAGGACGACTTCAGTGACACCTGCCATTCCCAGCAAT